TTATAGCCTTTGCCTTTCTCTTATTTCACAAGCTTACAAAAAAAACTATTTTCCTTTCTTTCCATTTGTTGATATCTGCTCTTTATCATTTATTCCTCTTCCATTCTAGGTTGCAAATTTCCATTTCATTTCATTTATTATTATAGTTATCAATATAACAGGCCCATGCATATTGATCCCTGCCACTCATCATGGCTTTGGTTAGCTGAGGCTTCAATGTAGGATTTTTTAATGTAAGACTACTGATGCATGCCGACCTTCCTCATTTATCAGCCAGAAGACTCAAATCCAAGAAACCCCCACTGGCACCTGCTCCATAACTAACATCAATTCCCAATGGAAAGCCAAGGGGGTCTCTGAATGCCCAGGCATAGGAAAACATATAAATGATGCCCAGGGCTGGTATTAACTTACTTTCCCTACCAGTTCGCAAATGTAAGCTTGCACATCCTCACATGCGCTCAGTCTTCAATGTGTGTGCTTTGATTGTGTGCGTGGCTTGCAGCATGCACGTGGCTTGAAAACTTGCTTAAATAGGATGGCATAGATTCTTAGCTGGCAGGCCCACCAGCGATTTTTAATACTGGTTTGGGTGAACAGGTCCAAACTGGCTGAATACCACCTCTGATGATGTCACATAAAAAGTGCCAGGCTTTGAACTCCCACCTTAGCAAATGAACGATCCTGAATAGGATTCACACCTCACACGGTGTCTAGCGGAACTCTCTGTATAAATGGGGCATAGTATCCTTTCCTCATTTTGACTGCAGGGTCCCACGTCCAGCTGTAGATCACACCTGGCTGTAAGCTGAGGGCATATACCGATCCAGTATCTGATTTTTTAAATATATAAATGATGCTGCACTTCAGTGGTTAGATGGCATAGATCAGTGATGGCAAACCTTTTTCTTACGGCATGCCAAAATTGCACCCATGCTATCATGTGCATGCACATGCCCACTCAATCTCCTGGCTCACCTGTGCATGTGCACATGACCCCCCATGCAAGTGCGTGCAACCCCTCCCCAGGCTCCTGAGGCTTTCCTGAAGTCTGGAGAGGGTGAAAACGGCCTCCCTCGGGCACCAGAGGCCCTCCAGAAGCCGGAAACGGATCACTTCCATACTTCCAATTGGGCTGTTGGGGCTGTTTTTTATCCCACGCATGCGCGCTGGAGCTATCGGCTGGCGTGCCACCAAATATGGCTCCGTGTGCCATAGGTTCACCATCACAGACCTAGACATTGATATTTGAACATATATCTTTTTAACAATCATATTTTATTGTCTTTTACTAGTCTAGGTGAAATAGTAATATATATTACTCATCCACATACGATATGCCATATACTGAATGAATGAATGAATGAATGAATGAATGAATGAATGAATGAATGAATGAATGAATGAATGAATG